TATATTAAATATAAAATTTCTTTTTTACTTTTTTACATAATTAAAATGCAATTTTCACAAACAATCGCATCACTCAAAAACAAAACAAAATGTCGTTTACAGAATACAACCATATTTTTTATTTCACTTTAATTTATGTTAATTGTGATTTTCTGGAGACAAATGATTAAAAAAAAAACGCTTGGTTCCATACTTTATATTCACCTTGTATAAAACAAATTTAAAAAGAAAACACTAGGATACAATTTTTTGAGTCGGGCTTACGAATTATCGGTTGTTTACTATTTAACATATTTTGCAATTGAATCATTTTTCAATTTTTAACTTGAACTGAAATTTTTAATGGAAATTTGTGATTTGAAAAAAATGTGCACAAATATGCAATATTTTATAAAATATGCACGAAGGTGCCAAAATATGCAAAATATGCATTTTTTAATTGGCTTATTTTAATCAAAAAACGTTAGATATGCATAGAAAACTCACAATTTTGTTGATATACCTCTTAATAACAAATATGCATTTTGCATATAATCCGACCCTTAGTAATGAATTTCTTCCATTGTAGAATTCCCTATACCTAAATTTAATGATTTACAAGTTATTTTGATACAGATGACACAGATCGAAGCGGATTTAAATTTTCTTTCATTTAGTGAAGAAAAAATTGGGGCCTTCCATTTGAAATAATTCAGTTTCGGGTATTTGAAGTTTCCCAAACATAACCTTAAATTTTGGAGGTGTGTTAATTATTTTTCCAATTATAAATGCACGAAAAAAAAGATCTAAACTTTCGTTTTCATAAGCCCAAATACAATTTCAAAATAATTAAAAATGGTAGAGCTATCGATTTTTGGAGAGGAAGATGCAGATTAATAAAAAATCAAAGAGGTCTAAATCTTTCAAAAACGGTTAAATCAGGTATAAGGAAGTCTGACAAAAACTCTCTCAAAACCACAAAATGCAATAATAAAATTTCTAATGTATTTTTTTACCGCAACAGAATTTAACTTTAAAACTAGAATTGAATATTTCCAACACGAAATTCGCTTTTTTCTTTGTTCTGGGTTATTTAAAATGTCACCATTCACTTTTGTCGTGTATGTGGTTGAGTGACAAGCAGTGCGTGAGATTTGGTTAGGTTCGTTACCGCTCCTTAGTATCTTCCACTGATGTCTGAGTAAATATAAGACCCTATTCTACGTGTGGTAGATATACCTTATACCTGCATGCCTGTGAGCAACATACATGATGGTGAAGCTTTCCACTTTCAACCCCAAAAATTTTCAAACTTAAACTAATTAAAATTTTTCTAAATCGAATTTTATTGCTAGAAAAGTAGATGAAAAAATTCACATTTTCTTGGGGCATGCAAATTTGTGGTTTACAAACTGGTTAAATAATATTATCCATAGCTTGCGATCTTAAAGTTTACTACCAGGTAATTAATTTAAATATCTAAACAATGTCTGTGTTTTCGAACTTAGCCAGAAGGAATTTATGCTAGTGGTAATTTGAAATTGAGATTTTCTGCAATTTTAAGAAGCATCTTGTTTAGTTGAAAGCTCGCAAAGTCTTTCTAATTGTAGCAAACAAGACATGTTAGTATTTCTGTCACAACGCTTGAACGAGATATTTAATATGCTTCAATCCCGGAGGCGAGTTGCACAAAAGTAGCTTTCTCACTTTTCCAAACAATGCTCTCTCAGTGCATGCAATATTTCCGTCGACTAATCAGATAAAAAAAGCCCCAGTGAGGATTTTCACAAACAAGTTACATTCCCGGATATACAGGTGTTGTTTTTAGCAATGAAATAACACTAGTCCAAGTGCACATTCAATATTGTTCAGAAAGCATGAGTGGTTTTCATATTGGGAAGTGTGACTGTCAATGGCAGATGGCGATTCTCACAGAATTAAAATTGAAGGACAACATTGGAATTTTGGAGCAGTTTAACACATTTTTTTGGCCCAATTATGATGAAAAATTGTGGAATTAATTTTGAAAATATTCACGTCACCAGATCTTGTTTTAACTATTTCGAATTAATCAATCACATTACACCAAACATGTGTTTTTGTCGTCAATTTGCTAGTGTCAAACGCAAATTTAAATGTGTTTTCACAATAAAATGATTTAAAACGTTGAAATTTTGCTACAAGAAAATCGAAATTCCAGGTCTAGGACGTGATGTAATCTAGAAAAGAGGCGTTTATTGTCTGAATCTCCTTGGAAATTCTGTAAGCCTATTAAAGCTTTTGTAATCAAATAATGCGATTATAATTTAGTTTTTTTAATTTGAATAACTAGTTGGTATATAATCCCTTGACTATTTAAAAATAATTAAATGGGTAATTTATGTTGGTAGCATCAAAAGCTTGTAATCAAAACAACTAATCCGAACTAAACTATGTTTTCTGTCTAAATTAATTCAAACTTGGGCCAATAATTGTTACCAACAACAACAATAACTACAACCTGCTTTGAATTAATTTGGTCGCAAAAAACATGCTCACTAAAATGTTTTTTTAATGGTGATAAAAGAATAAAAATATGATTTTTTGCAATAAGAAATTTTAAGGTTTGATAGATTTATCAAAATAGGATGCTGCAAAAAGGGATGAATTAATTGCAATGTCCTAAAAACATCATTTATTACTCGAGTTTATAGTGTCTATGTAAGTAACTTAGATTGTTACAGCATTAATTATTAATTTAGTTACAAACTGACTCAATGGTACGAAGTGTTTAATATGAGACAATGCACGTTGCAGTAATTCAAATAATTATATTAGTTTGTTAACTGCTAAACAATAGGTATGTATTTATTATAAAAAATGTGCTTGTTATATACGAACTTTTAGAATAAAGTTGCTTTTATATAAAGCGCTAATAAGTTCATAATTTATTTTATTAATACAATTTTCTTGAATATCTTTATAACTTTTTTAATAAATCACGTATTTCTTTATTCTACTGATTTCCAAAGTGAGTCATCAGATTTTTAAGTTAGATTTATTTAAGTTTGATGGTAAACATTTCTACATTGAAAGAAAAAGAATTTTATATTTTAAAGTTGTGGTAAAAATGGTGGATGCGCCGGGATAATTTCTATTTTATTGTTATGACCTGTAACAAGTTGAGTCTACTTTTTTTTTATTTATAATAGAATTATAATAAATTTTTACGGATTTATTACCATAAAAAATCATTGAATAAATTATGTTTTTGTGCAATTATCACGTAAACAAAAAGTATTATTATTATTAAAAAAAAACAATTTTATGAATGATAAGATACTATAAAAATGTGATAAAATTCTCCAAAATTTTCTTCTGTTTTGAGTTTTGAAAAAGTTTTTTTCTAATGACACTTTACTTTTTTATCAAATTATTAAATTTTTTTGTAAAGACTAGGATATAAGGATCTATCTTCATTTCATATTATATTTTTTCTCTCAATTTTTTTTTATACAAGCTGCCATTTTGACTCAAAAAATCGCATAATTTAAGAACAAATCAAAATTTCTGAAAACACGATCATATTTTTGTAGCACTTTAATTTTTTAATTATTATTTATTTCTAAAGGCAAATGATTTAAAACACGCTTTGTTCTTCACCTTGTATCTTAAAATGTACATGACTTTCTTGATATGTGACTCAATTCCATGAGTAAAGTAAAAATTGTAAAAATTGGTATTTCATTTATTTTATTTCCAAGAAATGAAGTATCAAATTATTAGTCAAAAACAAGAGAATTACACATTATTCCCTGTTTGGAGAAAATATATACATATTTACATACAGTATTTTTTTTAGTTTTTTTATATTATAGCATCTTTCACAAGCATGAAACGAAAATACTACATTGCATAAATTTATCTCATCACATTTTTTTTAATCTTATCAACAAAAAACTGAGATTATACAGAGTATCCCACAAGTAATAATGAGCCTGAATTTTTTTGAAGCAACCAACATTACATTTCATAGATAACGTATTATGTTAATTATTTATTAAATTATATTAAAATGTTTCGTTTTAATGAGTTAAACCTAGTAATCGTATTTTTATTTTTGACAAATTTCTTTCAGTCAAAATGACTTTATTCCAGTTTTAGGAAGTCCGTCTGTTTGAGTGTTTTTTAAAAAAAAATTCATATGTTCCCTTTTTATTAATTTTTCTTAAAACTATGATACTACTATTAGAACCTTAAAACGTACTACAAATAAATAAAATAAAATTTTGCGGTATTCTAAATTTGTTTGTCGCAAAAGCTAAGGGGGATGCAAAATCCCTACTCTATGGTTTATTAAAATTTCTGTTCGTGGAATGAGGTATATTTTAATTATCGGATACCTGAAGCCCACACCAGAAACTGCACTAATTGAAATAAAATTTTTACTTGGTTGCAGAGTTGACGCCAGATGTTTTATCCATTTTTTGTTTTAAATAATTCTACCGAATTATTTCTAATGAAGTCAAGCCAAATCAAAAAAAAAAATATGATTTTAATTTTTAAATTTAAATGGTGGATGTGTCAAGGTAAGGTAATGGTTTATAAATGTGTATAATTTTTAATATAAATAAATAAAAATGAAGTGAAGTAGAAATGATTATACACTGGCTGCCAAAATTAACCGGACAACTAAAATTTTGCGATTTTTCACATTGTTATCCTTTCGACGAATTTTTGTTTTTTAATTAATTAATTAATTAATTTTTAATTTTTGATTTTAAAATGTTTGTTATGTCTTCTAATAATCCTTTTAATCCCAATAAAAGAAAGATTTTGATTTATTATTATCCCCTATTTTTTCTTTAAGCCGAACAAAATCCGACAAAAAATAACAAAAACCTTGCAATGTAAAAATTTTGGCAGTGTAATTGGGATAAATTTCGACCATTCTTATGAAAAATTCCATTCTTTGTTAAGTTATGTAGAAATAGATATTCTCATGAGGGAAATGTGTCCAATTCATTTTTCTTTTATTGCAGTATCAGAATACGATCTGCTTGCGGCTGTGAAAATTCCTTTTCAAGATCCGAAGACCCAGTACATCGACGAGGATGGCCATGACGGATTTCCCGCTCTTGGCTTCAAATCCGGATCCGACGTGAAAATAGCTCACCGCCAAATATTGCCGGAAAAACTGCCATCGGAATTTTCAATTTTAATTAGTGCAAAACCGCGATCCAGAAAGGGCGGATTTATATTCGCCGTAGTCAACCCATACGATACTGTTGTAGGATTGGGAGTAAGAATTGCTCCAGAGGGAACGAGTAATACCGTCATATCTTTATTTTACACGGACACTTCTCATATTGCTTCCCAGATTATCGCAAATTTTACTGTTAATAGATTCAATGGAAAATGGACGAGATTCGCTTTTCGGTTATCCGTCGAGAATGTCACATTATTTTTTAACTGTAACGAAACGGAAACATTTCCCGTCAAACGGGAACCATTAGAATTAATTTTCGATTCGGCTTCCACGCTATATATTGCACAAGCCGGACCTGTCATCGGGGAACCCTACGAGGTGAGTCTCCACTTTCTGATTTAGTAATGAATTACATTGATTTATTCGACATTAATAAAACAGAGGCACCATCATCCATACGCGGCTCAATAAAATGCTCTGCTATTACCCATGAATATTCAAAACCGTCTTAATAGCTTAAAGAAACTTTGCATCTTATTGAATATTTCATTTCCAAGTATTACACAATTTTTAGTACGAAAATCTCACAGTTATTAGTTTCTTAATGTCAGCTAAGGTTTTGCTCTTTTATTAATTCTTACCCTTTTGAGCAATATTCGCACATTAATGTGAGCCATTTTTGAATTTATTGGGATTGTGTGCAAAATTCAAGTTTTTAATAAAAAAAAAAACAGAATTTCTCATTTTTATAGATCAGCCAAAAAATCGTTGATAAACTATTTTATATAATTTTGGCGAAAAAATGTGTAAATTAACAACTCAGTTAATTTGCACACTGGTCGACTTGAAATAGTTAGGTAGTGATTTGTGAAGTATTGTTTAAGACTATAAGAGCCTAATATAAAAGAAATTTGGCCAAGGAATGTGTAATTTAATTAAATTTTTTAATTTGAGGTTACGACATGAATTTATTATTTCTATCGACGTAACAAAAATTAGATGTATCCACTGAACTAACAAAAAATAGATTTCTAGTTTATTAGCACAAAAAATTGTGAAAACTCAATAATTCAAAAATTGAATTGAATTTAATTACATAAAATATTTGCACATCAGATAGAATGAGGCTTAGAAGGAGGCGAAATAAATATAAAAAATTACATAAATATTAAATTCAATAAACACGCTTTTAATCAAAAACTGTGCTTATGAAAAAAACAGAATTTTTTATTTTTGTAGATCAGCCAAAAAATCAAAATGATAAACTATCAAATTGATAAACTATTTTATTAAGAATTTTATCGAAAAAATGTGTAAATTAACGATTTAACAATGAAAAACTCAATTAATTTGCACAGTGGTCGACTTGAAGTGAAAACTCAATAATTCAAAAATTGAATTGAATTGAATTGAATTAAATTTCATAAAATATTTGCACATCAGATAGAATGAGGTTTAGAAGGAGGCGAAATAAATTTAAATAAATATAAATAATTAAATAAATATTAATTACAATAAACACGTTTTTAATCACAAATTATGCTTATGGAAAAAACAGAATTTTTCATTTTTGAAGATCAGCTAAAAAATCGTTGATAAACCATTTTATTAAGAATTTTGTCAAAAAAATGTGTAAATAAACGATTTAATGATGAAAAACTCAGTTAATTTGCATACTGGTCGACTTAAAATAGTTAGGTAGTGATTTGTGAAGTGTTGTTTAAGACTATAAGAGCCCAATATAAAAGAGATTTGGCCAAGTAATGTGTAATTTAATTTAATTTTAATTAATAAATTTGAGGTTATGACATGAATTTATTATTTCTATCGACGTAACAAAAACTAGATGTACCCACTGAACTAACAAAAAATAGATTTCCAGTTTATTAGCAGAAAAATTGTGAAAACTCAATAATTCCAAAATTGAAGTGAGTTGAATTTAATTACATAAAATATTTGCACATCAGATAGAATGAGGTTTAGAAGAAAGCGAAATAAGTTTAAATGAATATAAATAATTAAATAAATATTAAATACAATAAACACGTTTTTAATCAAAAATTATGCTTATGAAAAAAACAGAATTTTTAATTTTTGTAAATCAGCCAAAAAATCGTTGATAAACTATTTTATTGAGAATTTTGGCGAAAAAATGTGTAAATGAACGATTTAACGATGAAAAACTCAGTTAATTTGCACACTGGTCGACTTGAAATAGTGAGGCAGTGATTTGTGAAGTGTTGCTTAAGACATTATAAAAAAAATTTGGCCAAGGAATGTGTAATTTAATTTAATTTTTTAATTTGAGGTTATGACATGAATTTATTATTTCTATCGACGTAAAAAAAAATAGATATACCCACTGAACTAACAAAAAATAGATTTTCAGTTTATTAGCAAAAAAATTGTGAAAACTCAATAATTCAAAACTTGAATTGAATTACATAAAATATTTACACATCAG